TATCTGAGAACCATGTCCGAAACCCCGCCGAGAATCATACGATTATCGGCGGGTGTGTGGCATGTTCGTAAGATAAATGCCGCACGGGCCGGTGTGCGCAAGCGCACACTGCCCGTTCAGCATTGCGGTCATGCTCAGCGGGGCGGGCTTGCGATCATCGCAAGTACGATCTGCCTGTCCAAGATAGGTAGATTGTACGTTTTTTTAATTACCTTACAACCATCGCAAAACAAAAGTCTTGTGATGGTCCAGTGCTGGAACTGCAGTGCTCAGCTCAGCCAGTATCTATCAGACCCGAACATACTCCAAAATTAGCAAAGCCAGCACTAAAAAAATAAAATAATCTGATATAAACTTTAGTAATGTGGCTTAAAAAAGGCAGCACAGAGCTTGCCTTATTTTCCATAAACTGAACGGACTGTTAAGGTAGGATGATACATTATATAATTTTGATAAATCTAAAGGAGATTTTAAAATCATATTGTAAGATATATATGCAATAATGCGCCGAGCTGAAGAAACAATCAATTATAAACAGTGAAATACACAGCAATGATTATAGGCTGAACTCAAACCACATAACATAAACAGTGGAACAAAGTCCACCACGATGCGGTGCAGATAACGAATCCAAACAATGTGATGCAATGTGTACAAACAACATGATCAGTCCTCTGAAGCAGACTTTATTGTAAGATGTAAAGCCAGGCAGGAAGGGATATGAAGTATGAATCACTCCTCTGACTCACCTGTGTTTGCAAATATGGTCTTGAGTTATTGGGCTCTGTAAACAACAGGTTTTTTTTTCCAGCAAAGCAATTAATATTAGACTGGTAAATATGTGAAAAGAAGTCTACAGTTTTATATACTTTTTAGGAATTACGACACCCGGTTCAAAAATGAAAAATATTACACTAAAAAACTGTATTTTGTTATCTTATTCATGGCCAGTAATTTAGAAGATATATTTTGGTAGCTTTGAAACCCCATGAAAGAGAAAATGTTAATGGGATCACTTTCTTGTGACTTTTTTGTGATATGCCAAGCACAGTGACATTGTTTTTTGAAAAGCAAATATATAAATCAGACAAGAGGCAGGTTGTGTTTGAGGGATGTCTTGTTACTGTGTCTCCTAAAGGTCAGAACTGCTCTTGGGAGTTCTTCCTATGGAATTTTAACTTTGCAAATGACACACTGCTTTGGGTCCCTGCAGCATGAATCATGAGGGAGAAGACTTCTTCTCCAGTATATAGATATGGTATAAATAGCACAAGGCTGAGAGATGAAATTAGAAGAGGCAAGGCAGGGCTTTCTGTTAGAATGAAGTTTCTTGTCAGTATATAAGGATCAGGCAAGCTTAAAATGAAGCTTGTTTATTTCTGTGTATGCTGCTCGATAGTGTTAACAAGGTCATCGTCGCTGAAGTGTTATTTTATGGGTTGAAATCTGTGACCTACTCTGGAGACTATGTCGAATATTTCACCTGTGGAGCAGCCATTACACAGCTAGCTCTAGGGAATAACTACTTGGAATTACAGTTCTACTAAACTAGGGGAAGTCATAATCACTGGTTGTGTATAACAGCTAAGGAAGAAACAGCATTGGTTGATTTAAGAGAACAACATTGCAACTTTGCACCCAACAAATACTAAAATGACATATACCTGTGAAAAGTTTATTGTAGAAAATCTTGGATAACTAATTGGGGTTGTTGCTTGTAATGGTTCAGTATATAAAGTATTTAATTTTTGTAATATCTTATATATTTTCTTTTATATATTTTTCAACCTTTAACGGACACCATGTTGTCTAGCAAAGAGACAGTTAAAGGTGTTGGCACAAACTATGACACTGTTAAAGTTTAACTAAACCCAAAAAAACAAAATGTTATATATGTTTAATAATTTTTTTAACCTGGGGATCCTACCAGTAAAACAATTCCTGTCCTAGGGTGACAATGCTCACTCACTGCACTGTATCTATGGATATGGAGGTGCAGAATTGTCCATCTATGGCGGTGGGAAGGTTGGGGCAAATCTTGCCCTCCAGCTGTTGTGAAACTACAAGTCACATGAAGCATTGCAAGACTAACAGTTAGAGGCATGACTCCCAGAGGCAGAAGCTTGTTGGGATTTGTAGTTACAGCATAGCTGGAGGGCCCGGGTTGCCCACCCCTGCTCTAGGCTGCTTTCCTTTTTGGTCTACAAACACCTCCCCTATCCTCTTCTCCATTACATAGAGGAAGATGTTTTGTATTTTGCAGGGGAACGGTGAAAACATTGTTTGAGATATCAGTTCAGTGAAAAGGATCATTGAAATTCTAGCAAGATCAACCCGTATTTCCTGCACGTGCAGGAAATGTTCTTAGCCTGAAAAACAAATTAATGCAACCACCATATCTAAGGACTGATGAGCTGCAATTTATGGGTTTAGATATATTTTAAGAGGGCTTGAGCAGTGGTAGCTACCATTTGTTTTAAAGAAAATGTAAACTATTGAAATAAAAGGCAACCAATGTAAGCACCCCTGGCTGCATTATCATTTGTCCCAAGCCATGTCACTGCCACTTTTTTCTAGACAGTTTGATATAAATATAGAAGTGGAGAAAACTATACATAAAGGTATGTCAAGTAAAAATAAAATGGCACTCCTATGTTTATCATTATCATTGCATGTATTGACCACAGTGGCGTAACTCGGGCCCATAGCGACCCGAGGCAGAGTGGGGCCCGGTCCAGGGCCGGATTAACATAGGTACATGTGGAGCTCTGCTCCAGCGTCGCCCCTGCAAATATGCAGGAGTTCGGAGGAGAGATCAGGGACATGGGCTCTGCTGTCATTATGAGGACCGGGGAGAGGAGGGGGGCGGGGCAGGACCTCGGGTGACTTCCAGGTGGTGCGCTGAGAATGGCACATGGTGCAGACCTCGTACCTGATGGCAGTGTGGATCCTGGTGGCCAGCCTGGCCAAGATCAGTATCAGTGAGTGACGGTGTATGTGTGTGTGTGTGTGTGTGTGTGTAGGAGAGACAGCTGTGTGGGCCCAGCGACCCCATCTGCTTGTGACAGACAGTCACATCTTCCCTGCCTTTGTGTGCTCTGCTCTCATCACACCCTCTATTGTCTCCTAAAGGTTAATTATCATACTCTACCTGTACCCTATTCATTACACCCCTAACTGTACCCACTATACCCCTCACTGTACCCTCTGACTATACCCCTCGCTTCAGTGAGTGGGGGGGTGTGTGTGTGTGTGTGTGTGTGTGTGTAGGAGAGACAGCTGTGTGGGCCCAGCGACCCCATCTGCTTGTGACAGACAGTCACATCTTCCCTGCCTTTGTGTGCTCTGCTCTCATCACACCCTCTATTGTCTCCTAAAGGTTAATTATCATACTCTACCTGTACCCTATTCATTACACCCCTAACTGTACCCACTATACCCCTCACTGTACCCTCTGACTATACCCCTCGCTGTACCCTCTGACTATACCCCTCACTGTACCCTCTGACTACTGACTATACCCCTCACTGTACCCTCTGACTATACCCTTCACTGTACCCTCTGACTATACCCCTCACTATACCCGCTGACTATACACTTTACTATACCCGCTGACTATACCCCTCACTGTACCCCCTGACTATACGCTTCACTATACCCGCTGACTATACCCAGCACTGTACCCTCTGACTATACCCCTCACTGTACCCGCTGACTCTACGCCTCACTATACCCGCTGACTATACCCCTCACTGTACCCTCTGACTATACGCCTCACTGTACCCTCTGACTATACGCCTCACTATACCCTCTGACTATACCCCTCACTGTACCCTCTGACTATACGCCTCACTATACCCGCTGACTATACCCTTCACTGTACCCCCTGACTATACCCAGCACTGTACCCTCTGACTATACCCCTCACTGTACCCTCTGGCAATGCCCAGCACTGTGCCCTCTGGCAATGCCCAGCACTGTGCCCTCTAACTACACCCAGCACTGTGCCCTATGACTTTGCCCAGCACTGTACCCTCTTACTATTCACCTCACTGTACCCTCTGACTTTACCCAGCACTGTACCCTCTGACTTTACCCAGCACTGTACCCTCTTACTATTCCCCTCACTGTACCCTCTGACTTTACCCAGCACTGTGGCCTCTGACTTTGCCCAGCACTGTACCGTCTTACTATTCCCCTCACTGTGCCCTCTGACAATGCCCAGCACTGTGCCCTATGACTATGCACAGCACTGTGCCCTCTGACTTAACCCCTCACTGTACCCTCAGTCACTTTGGCACCCAAGGCAGAGGACCCAGGCAGCGGCAGGCCTCTATTCAGGCACATTAAAAGGTGTCTCTCTGGGGTTTTGGAAAGGAGCGAGCGGCCGCCTGAGTAGAGAGCTGCATCTGCTGTGGCCTGCAGCCACCAGTTCTACTCTGCGGACCCCTGGTGAGAGCCCGCACAGACCACCTGAGAGCCCGCACAGACCACCTAAGAGCCCCACTGACCACCTGAGAGCCCTCACTGGCCACCTGAGGGTCTGCACAGCCCACCTGTCCTTTGTCTCCATCTTCTGCCAGGCAGCTGCAATGTAGCAAAACAGCGTTGGAGTGATCTCTTCTTTGGTTCTGAAATCAGAGCCAGCAGGAACAAGCTTAAGAGAAGGAGATGATCGGAGACAGCAAGAGCACAGGAACGTGTTCTGGGGGTAGGTAGTGTGTTGGGGGTCGGGGGCAGTTTGGGGGGGCCCCATACATAATTTTGCTTTGGGGCCCTGTTATTTCTAGTTACGCCCCTGATTGACCACAAACAATTATCATATTACGATATTGTGGTCCTACAGCAATAGTGGCAGCACACTAACATATCAAAGCAACTTTACTTTTTATGAATGGTGTTTTTAATGAAATGTGGGAAACATGTTTAATGAACATGAATTGAGATGTAAAAATATGCATTATAGAACATATTTGCATATTGCTTACTCAATAAAACACATTTTTAATTTAAAAAAAAACCACATTCTTGAAATATTGATTTTCCAGATATTCCAGATAGCAGCAGAATAAATAGTAAAAAGTTGACCTTGTGCTTTGTAAGGATGCTTCATTGTCTTTACCCTGATCTGTTTACCCCTTGGGGTTGATTTACTAATATAACAGGGGATGTTATCTTAGAAGAGCGAATATTCTCTTTGTAAAATGTGTGTTTACTTTCCATTGTGGATGTTAGCACATAATGTGAACCTGTTTTCACTTTGAATAACCAATCTTTTCTAAGAAGACAAATTATTTTTGCTAGCTTATGATTGGTTGACTAAAAAAACACTTATTTACTAAGCTTAGTGGACATTCACAGTACCAAATGGTCCATGCTTCTTTAGTTAAGGTACTGTTTATCTAAAGCCAAACCTAACGTTTTGGGTAGAGTAGGGAAGGAGTGAATCCTATTGTATCTATATCTGGAAACATTCCCTCTCTGTTTGTCCATTGTGACTATTGGGAAACACAGACATCCCAACTCTCCCGGACGCTCCGGGAGTCTCCCGCTATTAGATAGTGGCTCCCGGCAGCCCGGGAAAGCAACATTTCCTCCCGGAAAGGTTTACTCAGAATAAACCTTTCCCGACTCTGTTTTTCAGAGTCAGAAAAAAAAAAAAGTTCAGGGAGAGTCCGGCCAATCACAGGGCGCCCCACTGCACCAGAGATCTTTCAATCACAGAGCTAAACGGTGACCAGCTGATGGCATTCATTAGAAGTAGTGTTGTGTGGTGACGTCATGAGGCGGAGCCAAAAAGAAAGCGGGAAGTTCAGGTATGGATCAGGTATGGATCGGGCAGGGAAGGGGGTCACTACATACATGATTCCTTATAATAGAACATACATAATTAATCATCTGTGATCATGACATGGTACATGTGTGATGGGGCTTGCAATTGTCAAAATATTTAAAAGAAACCCAGCAGATAGCAAAGAAGCTATAGCGTCCTCGCTATCTGTCACATTGGGCATCCAATCATGTCTGCCTGAAAAACTAAGAGGCGGACCTGATTAGACCGCCTGTCTGAAAGGGTCCTTACTGTTGTGTGTTTTGGGAACAAGAAGTGAAGAGTAATATTCCCAACAGAACAAAAAAATCAAAATGTAAAAATATAAATAAAATAAATTTAAAAAAAATTTTAAATGACTTTTTTTAAATTGATGCTTTACTGAATTATTCTGATTCGTCAAAAAATAGTTACAAGTCAATGTCATTACTGCACATGTATTTTCTTTTTTTTTTTATATAAATAAATGGCTGTTCGGTTGTTGAATATGTGATATTTCTATTATTTTATCTTTGTCAATAGCATCCGGCTGTGGCAGCCCCAAAGACCTGAGTGACAGAAAAGGTACCTTCCAATCAATAAGGTATCCCTCCCCCTACAGGAACGAGGCTAGCTGCATTTGGAATATTGTAGCCCCCGCAGACAAAGTCATTCATGTTCATTTCAACGACTTCCTTCTTGAGCAAAGCACTGCTTGCAATAATGACAGAGTGATTATTTCAGATGAGCTCAGTAGTCTTGGTAAGTTTCTACTGATCTGTGTGTCATCAAAATACAATATTTGTTCTGTCTGATACACCTCACCCATCTTAAAATGCAGTCCAACCTGCTTTGGTGTTACCATCTTACCAAAGACTTGGCACTCCCTCTGCTGGTGACTATCGGGAATCTGAAAAGCTTCAATTCTGGAAAATAGAAATTAACCTTATTTATTACAGGTATTTATACAGCGCCAACAATTTACCCAGCACTTTACATCAAGGAGCTTGCAATCTAAGGTACCTATTGCACAAGCATACAGGGCCAATTTAGAGAGGAGCAAATTGACCTTCCAGAAGGTATTTAGAGTGTGGGAGAAAACACATGCAAGCACAGGGAGAACATGCAAACTCCTTGAAGATACTGTTCTTATCAAGATTTGAACCAGGGACCCTCAGTGCTGTAAGGAAGAAGTCCTAACCATGACACCACTGTGACTTATTGTAAAACCACTGCTCAATAATACAATTAAATTAATTAATAATTCCAACATTTCAGGAAGTTTTGAAGTTTTAGGTACACTATTTTGCACTTCAGCTGAGTTATTCAATGACTTTTCTCAAGATCGTAAAGCCCATTTCTGGGAAAAACATAAAATGAATTAATTTAAATATATTTCTAAATCAGCGTTCCCCCACCTTTTTTTTTAGCCATGGCACCCTTTAAAAGTATGCAAAATCTCAAGGCTCCCCAGTCTAAAATGTAAGAAATGTATGTGGAAGAAATAAAACATAACCCCTCAAAAGAAATCCATGCCAGACCCTTATCCCAGTTATTGGTCTGGGATGGATTTTAAGGGGGGGACACTATGCAAAAACGGTTCCCCCTTTCACATCAGAGTCCCCCCTTAAAATCAGGAGCTCCCTTTACATTGGGAGTTCCTCTTTCACATCAGAATTCCTCCTTTCACATCAGAGTCTTCCTTTACATCAGGAACTCTTCTTCATATTAGGAGCCCTGGTCACATCAAGATCCCTGATGCTGGGGGTCGGCCAACCTGCCTGTACTGTAAATAGGTACTGTCCACAAATTTCAAGGCACCCCTGAGGAAGCCAGAAGGCACCCTGGTTGAGAAAGGCTGTTCTAAATAGTCATAAGGAGATTTGAATCTACTTTGTATTTACCAATTGCAAACCTAGATATTACATTGAAGATGTAGCAGTAATATCTCCACCAGGCTGCATATAGCCTGTGCAGTAGCAGAGTTCTAGGAGCCACTCAGCAGGTCCTCCCACTACAGATTGCCTGCAAATTACTACAGAGGTCAGATACAAGACCAGTAACCCTGCACATGGAGAGAAAGCATCAGTGGCTGGTCTGTATTGCAGAAAACACCTGCACAGAGGCAAAAGTGCAGATTACTGCAGGGATCTGGAAGTGATGCACAGAGGACAGGACACAAAGTTAAAGTAAGGATAGCCATGGTTTTCAGGTTCAGGTTTAAAGTGGGTTTGCACAGACCAGTAACAGCCATTGCTGACCTATCTTTCTGAAAATGCATGTTCTCTGGTTTTCATATTGATCGAATGGCTTCAATACTTTCTGAGGCACTGATTTTGGAACAAGTAGGCAGATTCAGATACCTGTATGCATGGGTCCTGACTTCACCCTGACTCTCTAATCTGTATGAATGTTCTGAGCCAGTTACTTAAACGTTCTAAAGCCAGAAACAGCCAGGCAACTCTATATGATGTTGGCTATGGCAGCCTTTGTAATTCTTGCAGTACAGGTTTCCTTTAGGTTAACTTGAAATGAGGATTTTGTAATGGCAGAATCACAGAATCATTTCTGCATCTCAATACTATTCATATTAGATCATCCAATGACTACCATTTTTCTGGGCTTCTCTTCAGTGGGACCAGGTTAAGACCATTACATGTTCATTGACACAAGCAGAGTCCCTTCAATGCTGATTACAGGGGCTATTCACAAAACTGGTGTCATAAAAGAGTGCTTGTTTGCCTTTACAAGGCATTGAAAAGACCGAACCTGTAGGTACAACTCAGGTCAGCAGAGAACGTCTGATGAAAATACACACTGTCTAGGCAGCACTGTGGACAAAGGGCATGCCCCTGCCTGGTAATTCAGTAACAAGAACTGTTTTTTTACACAAGGACCCTCTTTGTTACCAAATGCCCCAGGTAGACTTTTAGCCCCTTAATTTTAAGGTCTCCACCAACTACAGATAGCCTTTTTGCCTCATAAGTCTTTGGTCACCATCAGCTATAGATAGACCTGTAGACCCATAAATCTTTGTTCACCACCAACTACAGATGGACTTGTAGTCCCATAAAACGTAGGTCACCACCAACTACAGATAGACTTGCAGCCCCATAGGTCTTTGGTCACTACCAACTACAGATAGACTTGTAGCCCTATAAGTCTTTGGTCACCAACAACTACGGATGGACTTGTAGCCCAATAGGTCTTTGTCACCACCAACATCAAAAAGACTTGTAGCGCATAAGAAAATGGTTAAAGAATGACAACATCCAACCTTTACTCTATATGTGACTTGTGATAAGTATGATGCTCTGTATTATTTATTCCTAACACATTATTCATGTTTCTAACCAATAGGTTCACACTGTGGAGCATTTACACCAAAAGATCTTGTGAGTTACAGCAACACATTATCAGTGAGATTCATTTCCAACAGCAGGGTAGTAGATACTGGATTTTCTGCAACCTGGGAATTCGTGGATCCCATTACAATTCCAAGTATGTACAGCAAAATGTTCACTTTGTAGGCTGTCAAACTAAAAGATTTAGCACTGAAAATGCTCTATATATAATCTATATATGCCTCTCCAACTTCTCCATGCATTCGCAGATTTACACAATCTCTTTGTATTACATTGCTAATGCTAAGGCCGCTCTAGCATCACTTTAGTGCTGAGGCTGCACTTTCTATGGTTCCCACCCACTATCAGAGAGACACTGCTTTGCTTGTCGCTCACTGCTGGAGCTGCAGCTATATATCTTCTGACCCTCACCACCACCTTCAGTGTAGATACATCTTCCTGCCCACCCACCTTCAGCTACAAGTATAACAGGCCTACTCTAAAGGGTGGTTTTTAAACCATTTATTGGAAAGTATTATAAATTGCATATCAAGTTTATACTGCCCTGTAACTCCCTAAGCCTACCCATTGTCTCACCCATTGTCCCACCATTGTCAGTTTTTTTTTAAATTAAAGGCAATCCTAGAATTTTCCAAATAAATAGGAGTTGCAATATGTTTCTCAATAGTAGCAGAAAAAGTCTATTGTGTATCTGTGTATAGTGCGGGCTGAGGATAAAGGTGCAACTGCCCTTGTGGCCCAGCCTTGGATTTGGATTTGATATGACTGCTCTAAAAGCATTTACCAATAAATGAATAAATACTCAGTGTTGTGTTTATTTCCTTCCAGGCATTTCTCAGTGTGGAGGTCATTTCAGCTCTGACAAAGAAGAGTTTATGTCCCCAAACTGGCCTAATGCCTCTTACCCTGGAAGTCAAGCCTGCACATGGAAAATTAATGTTCAGCCTGGCAAACGAATCCACATTGTCTTCAAAAGCTTTGAATTGCAGATAGCAAATTTTACAGGAAGCTGCCAGGACTATGTGGAGGTTTTTGATGGCGACAAAGCTGGAGCAAACAAATTAGGTGAGTACTCATTTGTGGTCTTCCAGTGCATCTTAAATTTATACTGTGAATGTTCAAATACTATTTCAAGAACAAGATGAAATGGCCTAAGCGCAAATGACTGCAGCCTTGGAATTCTGATCTCTCCCACACCATATGAGAACTGTTTCTAAATATGTAAGTGTATCCTTCTTCATCTAGAGTGTGAAGGGCAGGCAATGCTTTGTTTTTAAAGCCCCGTTCACATTGATCGATTTATCGCGCGGTAATTCCCGCGATGTCGCGGCAAATTACCGCACGATATCGCGCTCCAATGCATTTCAATGGGGCAAAGGGTCCTGCTGTCGCGGGTCATGTGTTGCTACAGCAGGACCCTTTTTGGAGCGGATTTAGCCGCGATTCAAGCTTGCTCAGTGCAAGCTTGAACGCGATATCGCGCGGCAAATCTCGCGATGTCGCGCAATATGCAAATTGCGCGACAAACGTGCGATTTGCATATCGCGCAGTGGGAACGGGGCATACAGCTGAACTCTAGGCAAACCTGTCATAGGGTTATAATTCTATTAAGCTAGATTTGTGATTCACATCCCCTTTTCACTGTTTCAGCTCTGAAGCTTTCTGTGCAATCACACAACTTCTACTCTGCTCGCTGACCAATAATTTGGCACTGTTATCACTGTCCAATCAGCAGGTTGGTGAGCCAGGATGTTAAGAAGCTGAACCTGGAAATAGTGAGTTGAGGTTCCTGGCCGTGTAGGGTGATAGATGGATAGGAATCACAGGAAGTCTGGAACAGAAATACAAACATACTGAACTATGGCAGGCAAACAGTTCACATCCATGTTTTTCAGCCATGTTACCTGTTTCCCTGATGTTCCATTTGTCTCACGTAATTGAACTAAGTTTCACAGTACTAGACCATATCTAATACAGTACATATACAGTATGGTGAGATAAAAAGATGCAAATTTTTTCCCAAGGAGATGCCAATATAAGAACGTGGTATCTTCATAAAGTTTCCAATAGACAGACACAATAAATACAAATCAACTTTTATATTATACACACCTGTTGAACCTTAAACATACCTTCCTTATTCTTGGGCATGGAGACATTCTAATGAACCCAAAATCAGTGGCAAATTTGAATTGGACATTTTACATAAAACAAATGTAGAATTATATTAAAGAGCTAAATAAGGTGATTTTTTTTTTTAATTTTCAGGTCAGTTCTGCGGTAGCACAGTTCCACCGACACTGAACACAACAGGGAATACGGCTGTTATTAAATTTGTCAGTAATCATGAACGACACCAAAATGGCTTCTATGGGTACTGGACAACTAATCTGACAGACATCCCTACCTCTATCTCTAGGCAGCCCAAACCATGGGACAATGTTAAAGTAGGTGAGTAAATAGCCAGGTCTAGATTTTGCATGTAGCTTTTTCTATGTGAGGAATTTATTTTAGCTGTTCATGCAGTATACAAGATATGTGCTAAAGTAATGAGTGTTTAAGAGCTATTATACTTTCAGTGACATCAGGGAAGATGTGAGATCAACATGGAGAAGGTGTGATGTTTAATTTGTAAATCCTGTTATCCACCTTGCAGGAATTCCAGAAAACCTTGTATACTTCACTTTTCATTTCAAAATAAATATCTGTAAAAAATAAGTCAAGGCATTATTTTTTACATATATACAATGACCTGGATGAATGAGAACCTTCACAGACATCTTAAAAGAAAGTTTGTGTATCTGCCTGACAGCTATTCCAAGCTCCCAGACACTTCTTTATAGAGAATGAGGGAAATCCTAGCAGAGGAGATTCCTCCAGCTAGACACATAGAGGTCCATTTAAAAAGCAGCGATATGGCCACTGCTTTAAAAAAAAAAAATACTGCACATTTATAAAGCACAGCAATGTCCCTACACATGTGCATTGCTCTCCGCTGGCTCCAGGGTAACCAAGCTGGAGGAACGCAGTAAGATAATAAGAAATGTGTCAAAGTCACATGATGGACTCTCTTTCAATCATGGAGCTATCTGTGCTGCATTAAGCTGAGAGAACATCGTGGAGCACCGCACACTCCATACAGAGTCCCACATTTTATGAGTAGGCCACAGCATGCATAACCTGACAGAGTATAACGAAGAGTGGATAGCGATATCTGCTCTCCTAATTAATTAGCCCATAAGGGTTCATTTAAAAAAGCAGTGGTATGAACAGAGGGGGGAAAAAGCCTGGTTATGTTACCTGGGAAAATCACATGACTTGCTCTCCTGCAATCACAAAGCGTTCTCCACTGTGCTTAGCAGACAGAACCACACGGGGCAGTGCACTCTCCAAACCACAGCCTCCATTTTATCAATGGGCTACAAAATGCAGGGCAGGGTGTGAGTACCCCAGCAGAGTAGATAGCAATACCCCATTGTGATAAAGGAAAACTCTTTACTAACACATTCTAGTGCAGAAGGTTATCTTACTTCATAGTTTATGTTTTCTATACTGGCCAGTTGTGAGATTAAGAACCATTACAATCAATATTATGCAGTTGGATCCAAAAAGTTACTATTTTTATTGAAATGTGTCACCATTTAATGGTAACACATAAAGTCAGAAACTCTAGATTATTACAAAAAAAATTATCCCCTCTAAAACATACACTAGTCACCCTAAGGCTGGGTTCACACCTGGGCGTACGGAATATGCGCGTTTGACCCGCGTTTCGTGCGGTAAAAGAAACACACGACAAACGCGCGTTTCCGAGGGCTATCCTGTTGTATCCAAATGGATACGCGTGGCAAATACGCCCCATAGAAGCTCCTGTACTTCTTTGGGCGTAGGTGGGAACCATGCCCATAGGTAATTATTGGTTTTCACATGTTGAGCGTTTTACAGCGCGTAGGAACGCGCTTTAAAAACGCCCAGGTGTGAACCAGGCCTAATACCTAAACAGCCCTCACTGGACCCCACCAGTTTTAAACAACCCAAGACTCCTTGCTCATGTTTACTTTCAAACTCCTTGAACACCTTGTCTGCAGCCTTACTCTCAAGCTAATACTGGATTGTGAGATTTTTTTGAGAAAACTAGATGAAGGGGATTTCCACGCTCCCACTTCTTTCCACTCCACCTCTCTCCTTCTTGCTTGTAATCCTCTTTTTTTCTCTCCCTATTTTACACACACTCTCTCCTTCATTTTCTACATACTCCCTTCTAGGTAGCACACATCCAGTAATTTGGCATAGCCCTCTAACCTTTACACCCACTTCATTTTACACAGACACACCTACTTTGGCTATCTTAATTGTACAGCCCATGAAGGCCAAGATGGATTTGGGCCTGCTGACCTAAGCAGATACCATCTTATGGTTAGATGGAATCTGTACTTTAGTGTAAAGGTCTTGTAGACCCCAATTTGACATTGCACCGAAGGCATGGGTATGTATGCTTGTTCCCACATGCATTTTCACTTCTGTGCTTTTAATAAAAAACACTGACCAAGAAATTAGGAGATCAACTGTAGGTCAAATGCATCTGTCAATGAATTCTGAATGATCTTAGAAGGGTCTGAAACTGATGTCAAACTGATTCCATCGACACAAGCTCAAAGCTGGTCAACACAGGTCCTTTGCTGTGTGAAGTAAGCCTATTAATGTGTGATTGGTACTTGCAAATTTCATTTTGTAGAAATGGAACCAATCCGGGCATTGCAGGTTGGAATGGCCAGATTGGTTCCATTTCTACAAAATCAATTATCAGTCTCCCTTGGTCAATACACTAGCAGCTTGAGACACATCACTATGACACAATAAATGAAAGATGCAAGGAGGTAAAATATATCACTTGATGTGAACTAATACTGTCATTTGCCGTTTATATATTTTATTTACTAGAATGGCTTTCCAACTGTGATGCACAATACAAACCATCTGTGGCTAATGTTCGTTTGCAACATCTTTCATCAATGTGGCATGTATCTGTTCAGGTAAGCACTGTCTCCATCTTCTGGTGATGTAGCATTACTGCAGGAAGTAAAACTGCAAAGGTCATATATATGGTTTTTGTTTTTTAATCATTATTATTTAAAAATGCACTTTTCATGCATATGCAGTTTAATGACATGTTTTATGATTGCCTGGAATTGGTTTTGGTATAGTCTCTTGTGTACATTCACTTAATATTTTGAAACAAGGACATGCCAATTGTATATTGTGTGTTAGCAGGTTAAGGCTCACAAAGTAATGTTAAAAAAATGTAACATTATTTTTCCATTTTCAACAAGAAAGTTAGGGGCCATTCACACCTTCATATTCTGGTGAGTTGCTTTAAGCATGCTATGTTGCACAATAACATGGATTGCGATAAGGCAGCCCATTGATTTGAAAGGATTGCCAACACAACGGAACGCACAAAAAATGGACAAGCACCAATTTTACAGACACAGATCACCACAACACATGGTAGTGTATCAATGTGTGCTGCGGTGCACTCCATTGCAGATGTGTTGTGGAGGCACGTTGGGGTGTCATTTACAATGAACAGTACTCGCCCAAATGCTCCGATACTTACCTCCGATACCAGAACATCTGGTCAGAGGGAAATCTCCCTCTGACCACAAGTACCAAGGTAGCATGAAGCCAGCTCCCTTTCCAATCAGGAAGCAGGGCTGTGGGCTATGACCTGTCTCCCGTCTTCCTGATTGGCTAGGAAGCTGGCTTCACTTGCTGCTAGGCAGCCTGGCTTCCTAAAGAATCAGTAAGCCAGAGCGGCATGTAATGACCCGCCTCCCTGCTTCCTGATTGGTCAGGAAGCCAGGCTGCCTAAGAACAAGTGAAGCCTGCTTCCTAGCCAATCAGGAAGCCGGTAGGCAGGTCATGATGTGTCGCCCGGCTTTCTGATTGGCTGGGAAACCAGCTTCACTTGTTGGTAAGCAGCCTGGTTTCCTAACCAATCAGGAAACCAGGCGACACGTCATGACTCGCGTCCCGGCTTCCTGATTAGTCAGGAAGCCACGCTACCTAGCAGCAAGTGACGCTGGCTTCCAAGTCAATTAGGAAGTTGGGAGGTGGGGCATGACATGCTGTCTGGCTTCCTGATTTGCTAGGAAGCCTGCTTCACTTATTGCTAGACAGCCTGGCTTACTGACCAATCAGGAAGCCGGACACCACCTCATGACTTGCCGCCCGGCTTCCTGATTGGTCAGAAAGTCAGGCAGCCTCGGCAAGTGAAGCTAGTGTTCTTTCGCTAGAGCACCGGCTTCACAGGCAATCAGGAAGCCGGGCAACAGGTCATGATCCACCGCCCGACTTCCTGATAATCTGGGCTATGTGTCATAAGGGTCCACACTACCAGTGTTATCAGAAAGGCTACATTACCAGTGAGGCTATGTTGCAAGTACCAAGTTACCAATGAGGCTGTGTTAACAGAGGGACCACATTTCCAGTGAGGCTATGTTTCCTAAGAGAACAAAGTTACTATTGAGGTTATGTTTCTTTAGGGTCCAAGTTACCAGTAAGACTATGTTTTCTAAGGGTCTAAACTACCAGTGAGGCTATGTTATGAGAGTGTCTACATTACCAGTGAGACTATGTTATCAGAGGGACTATATTACTGTGAGGCTATGTTATCAGCGGGACCACATTACCAGTAAGGCTATGTTGCCAGAGAGATTGTGTTAACTGGGAGGCTACAATACTATAGGAAAACATTAATATGTTACCAGCAAGAGACCAGAGGTTATATTACCAGAGGAACCAATTTACAAGTGCTACCAGAGTTGTAATGTATAACATTACTACATAATGTATATGCAAATGCTGCTACTGGTTGTGTTTCTTTTGTCTCTTTCCTAATTTTTCTTTTTTTTTGGTTGCAGAGTCAAATCCAACCATACCTGCCATACATGCATAGGTGTGGAGGATCACTCATAAACTCACAATGGGTTCTGTTACCTGCTCATTGTATGGATGTGTAAGTATACCGGTGCATTATAGTCTAGATTACAGTTTATTCACAGTGCTCAATTTTAAGTGTGATTAATAACAGTGTTAACAGCTGTTGGCAAAAATAGTTAAGTTGCATACTATTTGACCACAGCCAAGTTTAATTCTCATTTACAAATGTAGATTTAAGAAACACTCTCAAATCTTTCTGAGTGTCATTGTTTTGGTCCTTAACTGTTCCCTGTGAGGCCTTCATTAATACCTTGCCAGTTTTTCCCTGCTTTACGTATGCCCTGTATTAAAAAATAGCAAACTTCAGATAGGGTTTGACTTTGATTGGTTGCTGTGAGTAAATGCACATGGTTCATATTAAACACTTTATAAAAACAAGGACAGTTTTAGGTTTTTATATTTTCACTCAGTTTATTGGAGGACTTTGCTTCTCAGGACAAAACTGACTTCTCTTCCACTAATGTCATAAATAGAGGATCCCGACACGCGCGGCACCTCAGGCAGTCGCCGGCCAGCTAAATTAGGACCCCACCTGGAGCTCCTCCCACCGGACCAGCGCTGACTCCCACCGGACCAGCGCATAGCGCAAACATCGGGGCATTTTGACAAGTACAAGTACAAGTACTTGTCAAAATGCCCTGTTTTTACAGGGGGTCAGGGAGGGGGGCGCAAAAATGCACCTTGCCTGTGTAGGCACAAATCCTAGCACCGGCCCTGAGCGTCATAGGATGTTCCTTACTCCTGGACAGTACAGCGCTCACATAATGACTTCTGCGTTTCATGCTGTCCAGGAATACTGAGCCTAGGTCAGCAAGATAGTACCATTCAGGGTCCACAACTCATAGATACTGCGGGAGACAGTTAGTATTAAAGGTAAGCATTTTCGCCAGAGCTGCTTTTTATTTATACCTGCTGGGACACACATAAAACATTTTTTTTAAACATTAAGTATCAGTAGAAAGAAGAGGCCCAATACTACTTCTGACCATCCATGTCTTGAAACACTGCTGCAGTGCTGCTCCCTGGTATCTGCAAGTATTCGATTGCCAGATGAGATGAATACCTGTTTTCCGCATAGCAAACAGTGGTTCCTCCTGCTGCTTTATACATTCTGTAGCTGGCAGTAGGAACGTGTGTGTGTGTGTACTGTATTATTGAATATATAAACCCCTCGGATGAGTTCAGTTCTTACATGAAGGAGAGCAGGAGATGCAAAGTTAGAATTCATCTTTAGTTCCACCTTCTGATAAACCTGAGATTGTAACAAATTCACTTAGATAAAATGCTACTCTAAGATCTAAGAGCACTTTTATGTCGGGGAAAAAAATTGCTTTAATCCTCTGAAAAAACAGTGGGACATAGTGGTATTAAAATCATATGAGGCTTTCCATTTTGACTGGAAATAACGTTAACAAATCTTGACTAAAGACACATAATGTTCAGTATTTTGTTTTAAACAGACGTATTATTTCCATGCAGAGACCAGAACCTTAAATCATGGAAGGTTTGCTTTGGACTTGACTCAGCGGAGACATGTGTCGGGACTGATGCTCTTATCAGGCATGAGAACTACAACTATCAACAGAGCAATGACCATTCCCATGATATAGCTTTACTTCATCTGTCAGAGGAGGTGACCAATATGCAGCCAATCTGTCTTCCTGCTTCAGAAGAATTTCTGTCACCGGGAGAGCTCTGCTACTGGGCAGGGTGGGCTGCCACAGGTATGGTGTGTGCTACAGTGCCCTAAGGTGTCTGTTGGCAGAAAAAGGAAAACTCCACTTTCGTTGTGACAAAAGTAATCCTCTCCATGCCATTTATATACTTTGTAAGGGTTATAGTAACCTTCATGGTGGTTTCTAATATGTTTCTGTTCTGTAGTTAACTGCTATAAGCACACAATCAGTTCATGTGTTTAATGAAAAATAGTGCTTGCTTGTCGTATCTGTCAGCATATTCATAAAATATGACATGCTCACTGCAGCAATCCTAAGGGCAGTGCCGGGGATGCCTTAAATGTAACCTCAATCTGTCTGGAGACTTCTGGTGAAAGTATTGAGTCAAATACACAAGCAGGTAGTGCGACTTCAAAAGGGAATGGTCACATCCATATAAACTTATTAAAGAACAAATAATTAAAGTGTTTTGTTTTTCTAATTTAGAGCCAAATACTAGCAGCTTAGTTTAGATGATTGATGGACTTTATTTCTTTATCAGTTAAAAAATAAATATGCAATAGATGTCAAGCTGCGGTATCTTTGATGATAGAACTTGAAATGAGCCATCTTCTTGCTCTTCATAGTGGATCAGTTCTGCTTTGAGGGACAAATCAGAATAGAAGCGGAATTCATTACAGTTCAGTGTTCTTTGTATAATGCACACAGAGGGGAATTTATCAAAACTGAAGCAGCCAAAATCTGAAGCAGCTGTGCATGGCAACCAATCAGCCTCTCTCTTCAGTTTGTTCATTTTGAAAATAAAAGATAGAAGCTGATTGGTTGTCTTGCACAGCTGCTCCAGGTTTTGTCTGCTCCAGTTTTGATCAATTCCCTTCACTGTTTTTAAAGGAAAGGTCCACCCACCCCACTGATATTTTAGTTTTTAGTAGATGCTGAGGAATTAAATCAGCAGATAGTTTCTTACATTTCTTAGGGACTGTAATGGGGATGTCTCTGCACTTGAGTTCCTCGGTCTGCACACCTGTTGTGGCCAGTATGATTAGTTCTCTCTCTCCCTGTTGGATTTTTTTTTTACTGTTTTATATTATAAAGAATGCAACAGGAGTCGCTGGACCATGAAAAAGAAGGCAGGAATAGAGTTAGGAATTATGGGCAATACTCCCAGGTAGATCAGAGTCCGGAACTTTGTCAGACAGATCTTGCTTTTGCAGTATCAAGGATGTATTAGAGGCAAAGGGCTGACCCAGCCCATTGGGTATTATTTTTAAGTAAGATATCAATTTTGGGTAGATTGGTTCTTTAAAAGAAACCCTTGCCTATATTTAGATAAGCCATGGTTAGAAAAGGCCTTAGATTTTGAATGCCTGGTGGCAATATGTTTTAACTACACTTAACTTCTGGCGACTGGTGAAGGTCCAGAAATCATATGTAATAGGTAGGGTATGTTTCTGCCTTTATCTTCAAAATGCTATTTCGTTACTGACTCTGCCAGTGGTCTGCAAGCATGTTGGTACAGGGACCAGTGTACTTCCTGGAGCAGGCAGAAAGTTTGCTCTGTCCAACCGGTAGCCATCTAGGTCTGGTATTTAAACAGATTTTTCCAGCATCATTAGTGCAATCAGCAACTGTACTGTCTAGTAAGTAAACTGAGCCCGATGTAAATGAACATTGTGAACAGCTTGACTAATAAATGTTGATGTTTAGCATGAAAGAGTGGGGTAGAAAATTGATTCAGGTATTGCTACACATTCCAACACACCCATACTAGTGCCTATAGCTTTTCCACTTGTTTATGGCCCACTCCCCCTCTTCCAAAATGTAATCCTGACCAAAAAAGGCACCCTGGTCCCCACCTCAAATGTCTTGTACTTGGATTCTGTTGAGTTTTTATAATAGTCTGTGTCACTGTTAGGGAGATCACATTTTTGCCCATTGACTTCTTATATCTCTTAGAGGCAACACTACTGACTATGGTTCACCAAAACCCCCACATCCTATTTGGTGCCCCCCCTCTATATTATAAAAGTGAATAAAACAAGGCTCAATTGACTATGTTATAATGCATATGTTATTTGCCAGAATGGTTATTTTAAGCCATGTGACTTTTATTTGCAGCTCTCATTGCTGAAAATACCATTGGTTGTGGCACATAATTGTCATTATAGCCTAGCTATAAACTCTCTTTTAATGGCAATGGCCAGTGGGTATATCTGGGAACTCTGATACAGACATATTACTGCTGTAGTCCTAGAAAGATGCCAGAAGTGAGGTGCATGCTTCAACCTGGCAGTATATACCTAGATTAGAAATAACAGCTTGGGTGATTGACCCTATAATATCAGATCCCAAATTTATGAAAATCTACTGCTGATCTATGATACTATCTATAGTCCGTCATGTCTGAAATATGACATTTTAATCAATATAAAATTAGTTTACTAATTTAAGCTTAGAATTGCCATTCACTGGTTCTAAGAAGAATCTATGTTGTATACAGTATTTATTGTCATGTATAATTTATTGATCAGAGTATTTTTCTATGAAACTCAGATGACAGCGAATTATATTTTTGTAATTAAAATAAGAAGAGAAATATTCAGTCTTTTCAAGATTCCTAGTAGAACTAACCCAAAGCTGTATTATGTTTATTGTGCAATTGCAGTAATCATTGTCTGCTTGCAGGTGGAATGAAATCTGCTACATCCAAGGCAAGGTTTCAAACTCCAGTACCCATCATGCCTTTTGAAGTTTGCAGCCAGCCCAAATTTTGGGAGAGCCACCTCACTACATCAATGTTATGCACTGGATTTAACTTACCTGAGAAGCTTAAGTCTAGTTGCAGGGTAAGTCAATTTTGCACATAGTTTAATCCAATAATAAGGCTGACCGTTTGGTACATCCAATTTACTAATACAGTAGGTATTTCTTGTAACTGATTTTTTGTGTTCAGCTCCCTAATGACTACATTTTAAAAGTCAGTGCTGTGCAAGTGACTCATCTCCGCGAATTTGGATGCAGCATGAAAACACAACATTGTATTAAACCCATTTAGTTACATGAATCAAGTTTCTACAGTAAAAACAATCTCATTCTTCCTGCGTAAATAGTAATTTTTTAAAGATGTTTTCTATGTTGATTGGAAAATAGTTCCTTATTTCATGTCCCAACATATAGTAACACATATACCTGCCTCCCACACTCTCCTATTGGCAACATCAAGAGACGTGGCTAAGAGTTATTGATGATCGAGTGGAGATGAGAACATGTTTTAGCTTTGAAAGTACTTACATGGCCACCACCTATTGGTTACAATTTCTCATGTGCTGTAGTACATGGACAAGCAGCCTGCTCCCGTATGATTCCTGTACTGTATTAGCTGTGTATAAATTGTTAGGGGTTTTAGAACCACAGTAAGATGTGAGGTGGTACTTGTGGCCAGATGATTGAGAGTTTGGGTCTTTTTGTGCTTTTAACAATGTGTGACTACCCCCAAGGCTCTCATGAAGAAGGAAGCAAAATATGTATTTTACACAGATTCTTGGGCTGATTGGAAACATGATATGATGCTAAGCAAAAACATCCTATTCAACAATCAGCCATGTGTAAATTATATAATTATAGTGAAAAGCACTCACCTCATAGTTCTCCTTTAACAAGCAGTAATATAGTTTTAAAGTTCCCATTCACCTCTCTAGTTCCTTTTAATGTGAGGTTATTAATTCTTGATCACAACAAAGACTTTAAAGTCGGGTTTCAGTCAGCTTCTAACAAGTTAGAAACATTTACAGGGTTATTCACAAAAGGATGAAGAGTTTGGAGAAGACAGGAGAAGTGAACAATCTAGGACAACATAGCTGATTTGGAAAAATTCTCCAATTCAGCTCTAGTCCAGTTCAGCTATGTTGTCCTAGATTGTTCACTTCTCCTGCCTTCTCCAAACTCTTCACCATTTTGTGAATAACCCTGTATATGATTGTTTACATTAGAGGGCTAGCAGGCTGCCAAGATTCTCTTGTTGAACAATTTCATTGTGAACGTATAAAAAATGAATTCTCCACAATGCCTATAGATACAGAGGTGAATGAGGGCTTGTATAAAAGTGCTTTTGTTGCTTGTTCAGTATATAGAAATACTTTAGTGTGAATTATCAGCGCACATGCTTACTTCTAATCTAGAGGACAATCTGGTTATTCTAGTTTATCTCCTTGTTCTTTACGTTTCCTTTCCCCTCACTAGAAGATAATATTCACAAATATATTCTTACAACAACAATGCTGAAGGAGGTCCGGGTGCTTATAATACCCTGAGGAGTCAAACAGGGTTTTACATACAAAACTAAATGGGAAATATTTTATATATTTGAAATGGGATGGAGTAGAAGATATTATTTAGAAAATAGCACATTGATACACACATACTATACAGCCCAGACCCTGGGTTAAATGAATAAGAAATAGCAAGACCTGCACTAGTAAAAAGACTATATACTTACCCATCCTGCCACCTGTTCCTTCAGTCTTCGCTGTCTTGTTTAGCCACAGCCTGGTCACCCACTGTGCTTTCTTCTGCCTGCCACATAACACAATAGCGACATAGGGGTCAGTGGAAGGAACCACAGTGCAGGGCGGGGGAAGCAGGCATCCAATCATTTTGGAAGTGTGGAACGTGAAGATTCTATAGGTGGCCATAGCTCTGGAACATAGACAAGATTTGAGGAACAGGCTGCAGGACAGGTTAGTATGAAACTTTTGCAGGTACTGCTGTTTTACATTTTTTAATCCCAGTGACAGAGTCAATTTAAACTGATCACTTTTAGTAAACTTGCATTGTCCTATGATGTTAATGAGGTTGTAAGGGCCCTTTCACACAGACATCTAACCAGAAATAGGGACAACTAAGGAGGTAAGGAGGGACAGAGGGATTTGGTTCCAAATGAGGGACAATTGGGAGATACGGGAATAGGTATGTTAAATGTATGGTTTGTTACATTGTATCACTGTGTGTAATGTGTCATGTGATAACTTTCTTTTCAGAGTGAAGCCGAAGGAGCTCTGATCTGTAAGTCTACTAAGGACACTGCCTGGGAACTTCAGGGAATCACAAACTTTGGGCCCAAGAACTGTCTGGTGGATAGAAAGCCTCAGGTCTTCACCAGAGTGTCAGCCTACAATGATTGGATTGCAGACCAGATCAAAAAATACATTTATGAAAAGACCATTGCATAAGCACACTCTACATGTTTCATTATGTGGACTGTACTCAAAGCAAAAATATTTATACTTAAGGAAGAAAACCTAAATACACAACTTAAATAACTAAATGGGATTTTTTTTGTTTGTTTACCTATTAAAGGATTGCTTAATTTTGTTCAGCCCATTTTGTGATTTACATACCTGTAGGCAGAGAGCTGACTCAGATGCTGCAAGGGATATTGACTTGCCTGCTGCCTAGCTGTGCAGTGTGCCAGGAATCTCATGACTTACTGAACAGAGTTACAAATCCTTTGGTAGATAAAACAATTCACATTGATATATTTCAACTGTGTATTTAACTATTTGCCTGATATTCCATGTTAAATAGAATTCATACAGAATTAAAACTACATTGTCTGTGCTTTTTAATATGCATTGCTAAACCTGCCAAATCTGATCGATATACATCTATATTTTTAGGATCTTTGTACCTGTGTGAATTTAAAAAGATAATTACAAACCTGGATTTCAGTTGTCTTAATATGTCAATTTTGTCTTTTTTTAAATGCACTGTGGAAGTTTGTGGGGCTGCCTTGGAGAAAGAGATCCAGAACATAGGTACAAATGTTGGGCCAGTATGACACCAGACTCCTTCCTGCTTTTCAGACTGGTATAACAATAAACAATAGTGAGGACAACTGCATGTCAGGAATTATGGCATTAAATCATTTAGAATGTATTTTTCACCTGCTTTTGCATTAGAATACACTAGTATGGGGAGGTGCAGTTGTAAAGTGAATACAGTTCCATTGACGAAGACTGTTATACAGTATTCACTGGGACACAACTGCATAATACAGTATCACATGGGAACATAGGCATATATGGCATGCAGAATGTGTGTGTCTATGAACCCTGGATTCACAGGTATTAGCGTACAGCTGCTGCCAGCAGCCTGTACAAATCAATGACAAACTGAAGGACTTTGCAACGGTACTCATTTACCTGCACAGTTAAGCGATTACTTGCATAGAGGGACAGGTGAGTGGTCCTGGATGCGGACTATGTGCATCCAAGGCTGTGCATACATCCCTGTACACATGTAATCGATCTTCTTTTAACTTGCATTGCAGCGGGTCACCCTGCATTTAAATCCAGCAAGTTGCATTGTCACCCAGTATACACCAATGCAACTTGTTGATATGAACTGAGCCTAATGGAAACAATGGATTTGGGCTTGTTATTGCACTGGGCAAAATGTAAAAACATGTAATGCACAACACAGAAGACAAGAAAAGTACCGTAATTGTAGCAGCATGCAAATCCCACACATACATTTTCAAATGTAGACAACTGATACCTGATTTTTAAAATCAAAACTGCATTATTAGATCCTGATTTTTGGGAATTGTGTATGGTACTTATAGGGGGCTTAGTGATTTATTCTTCCAATGTCACAACTCTATTACTACAGACATGATGGGCATTTTTTATCTTATTGTTATACTACTCTAGTCTCCATACGTCTTCTCTTTCTCTCTCAATAGTTTATCAAAAAGAGGGAGAGATAGAGTTTCTGTGAACAAGCTCTAATGTTTCATCAGGGCAAAGTCTAAAGGCTGGCCGATACATGAGGGGTAATGAGCAATTCCCACACTAGTTACAATTTCCAAATTCTACTAAAAAAAATTAGTGTTTATCAATCACTAAAATATTCTTGCATCATATCTCTTTGTGAGATAACAAACTCTCTGATAGTTGTACCACCTGCAAAAATCAGCTCATGTTTGATCCTTTAACGTTACATATACATACACAGCACTCAGATTATGCATACATGATCGATTCATAAAATTATAATTTGCATCTGAATAGATGTGCTCTGGTTTGTGTGTATGTCTATGCACTGTAAAAACAACCCCATCTTTAGCCTTATCTCATGTGAGACAGGGACAAAATCCAATCCAGCCAACATATATCGATGTGAAGCACTACTTTACCCTATGGAGGCAGCTGGAAACCCCAAGACTCAGTGGGCTGACATTTCTCTTCAGGATGGGATTCTTGACTATTTTGGGGTGATAAAAAAAAAACTGGGCACCAGCCAGTTTAGAAAAATTAATGAGTTTATTGTAGGACTATAAAATCAGGGAGAGAAGAATTAGTGCACAGAATACCCAGAAAAGAGGATATCTGCAGACTCCAGACCTACTTTAAATCAATACAGAAAACTGAATTTAAGTCAGAGCCTCCATTCTGTACTCTTCAGACAGTAAGTAGTTGTAGCACATGGGCCCACCCTGGAAAAGCCTCTAGAACTTTCTGCAATGTCTTCCTGGCAGCAGCCTGTAGCCAGGCAATTTAAACTTCTTAGTCTCAGTTTCAGGCTGCTCATCTGGTTTTAGGTTCTCCCAGCCCTAGGAGGCACAAACCACTGACACAGTACTTCCTCGCCAGGCAGGGTCTCGTAGGGTAGAGAGCTTCTGCAACACAGCCTCCTTTCCCAACCAAAGCCCAGGAGGCAAGAGAGCTTCTGGAAGGTCACCCCAAATATTTTTTATCCTCCCCCAACATACACCACAGGCAATAAACCTCCTAGTGGTTGGCCAGGAACACGTGAATATTCTAAGCATTTTCTTCCTCTATTGTTAGGGACACCTCCAACAGCAGGCAGAAGCAAACAATTAAACAGCTTAGAGGAAATCTAGCGAAAGCTTAACAATCACTGAGAGGTCAGGCTAAATGCAGCTCAGTTATACCACTAAATGTGGGGATAGGGACACTCCTGTTTAGTACAGGGTCCCTACGGATGTTTCGACTGAGAACTACTAGCTAAAGAACTGGGGGTGTCTAAAACAACAGCATGGTGCCCACAAATATTCCAATCAAATTCAGATCAGAAGGCATTCTTACAGCTATGGCAGTGATTCAGAGATGTTTCCTCAGGTATCAAAACCAAGGACATTTTTCAGATCACTTTGCAAATTTACTGCTCAGTAGCAGGCTCGGGTACAAGGGACCAGTGTTGTGGAAATTCGCTCGGGCTAAACGCACAAATCCATGCCGCACTAAAAGAGCGCCAAACACAAAGAATTTCCCCGTGCTTAAAACATGTGTTGTATTAAGCTCTTTTGTGCAAGGAAAGGCAACACTCATGCAGAGTCAAGAAAAGGTGATGCTTTCATGGTGGAGTTTCTGTTCCAAGCCCCCTCCACCAAAGCTCCATTTATTTTATAGATGTCAAACAGGAAGTAATGTCAAACAGGAAGTGATGTCAAACAGGCAACAACCAACATCACTTCCTCAATATCCAGCCAATTAAACACATGTATACAATAGAAAGGGGAGTATATGTTTGTAAACGGTGTGCAAAGAAACCATGTGCAAAAGCAGCATTCTCTTCCATGGACGCCGCCATCTTTAATATCCCGTTACCACTGGAGCGAACTCTGTACAGCATTGCTCAGTGAGCAATGCCCAATAAAGATACTATGATTCTCATGGATGCGAGTTTATGTGCAAGGACAATGCCATACTATTTCCAGCGCGCTGATCAGACGCACCAGACATACGAACGCACGTTCCTTTCAAAAAGGCAGATATGCATCTAAACTGATACATCGTTCTTAAAACAAGTGCATCCACGCCAAGCCAATAAATCCACGCATCGCGCAGGGGCCCTAGCCGGCGTCCATATATTCGCTAAGAACACACTGCTCCACCACGCACATCAATCTCCCCCTGCCAACAGCCCAGCGCATAGCACATGGACCATTCGCCAGCAGAGACCTCGGCACACGGCGGCCGCGTCTCCACATCCACAGGAAGATATCCACTCCAATGGTTTACACTCAGTGCTGATTAATCCAGGTCACGCTCTAATCGGGCGTGGCCCAGAAACCCGACACTGAGAGACATGATGACAATATTACAATATACTAAAAACACATCCTAATAAAATTTCCACAACACCAGGTACAATTAGTCATAAGGCTGCAGATCAGCAAGTAACAAATTGCTGCAACAGCTGACCTACAGTGATTTGATATAGCACAGAGCAGTATCAACAGAAATGGAAAAGGAATGATATTCACACAAGAAAGATAAGCAGAGGAGCAAAAAGTTTTAAAGTGTATAGTATGTCCAGCCAAACTTTTTTTTTGGGATAAAGTCCCAAAGCATACCTGTTAATCTGAATCCGTCCCCCTAAACTTTTCCTATTAGACTTTGTGGCAGCAGGCTGATAAAAATGTCTGGGTCTAGCCAGGATGGCGGAGTTGGATCCCTTAGATTCAGAGGTTATACTAAAGGTTGTCCTCTAGGTGGAAGTGTTGAAAGGGCTGGAGACTTGGAGGTAACAAGCCCAGCTGAAGCAAGCTGGCTTGTAAGGGCCTCTACAAGATCCCCCAGCATCCTGGGGGAATCAGCCTGTGTGTCTGGCGGACTGGGGAGCAGATCACCTGTGTGGTAAAAAGCAGCTTGTGTGGCCAAAGAGACTAGCTTGTGTAGCAAAGAGGACAAGAAACAGCCTGTGTGGCAAGCATTTTGGATACAACCTGTGTGGGAAAGGCTTTATTGTTAAAGAGACAACCTGAAGTTGGTGAGACTTTGAAAATGTTATTTTGCTGAATGAAAAAGCTGAACTTTGTGTTTGAAAACCTGTGTGGACTTTTGAGTTTGAGTCAATGAATGGCTAAATTGAAACACTCTAGACCTCTTTTAAATTTAACCCCCCC